ACTAAAAATATTTACATTTTTATGATTTGTCTCAACCTTATGTTTATTTTGTTTCCATTAATTAAAATCTTAAAAGCTTAATCTTGCAAAGAATTTATTTAAATTGTTATGTTTACCAAACCACCCAGCGTAGGAACGAATCACCCACAAACGTAACGAGACTTTAAAATTCTACGCACGTCAACACTAAATTAAAGCAGAGTTTCTTGTCGACCTCTGTAGATTGTGAACCTGTACCTGCGTTACCTATCTGCGAAGGTATAACATTTGACCATCGCAACATTTAGTCATATTTCTAAAGCTAATAAGAGATTTTAGAATCACTGAAGTGATTTATTACATTTTCAATATTTAATTTTGTAGCTTGCAATACTCTAGTATAATACATGGATTTATTAAGATTCAAATATTTATATTTTGTCCAGAAAATAGTATTTGAAAGTTACACTATTCCTAGGAAGCTTCAACAAGGATGAAATGTAAAGTTTTTTAATGATGCAATAAAGATGGCATAAAAGATTTATAAAATATATTTCTTTTTTAATTAACCCTTTGACTTTTAATATTTTGTTCCCTAAACAATATTTTCTTAAGCCTCTTCTTGACGGGCATACAGCATGCTATCAAATTATAGTAAGTAAATAAAGTTTGTGCAATAACACATGATACCTATATTTAAACTTATAGGCATACCGTTGACTCACAACACGGTAAAGACATATGATACATGGTAGTGGTAATACATTTCGATTAGGGAACTATATCATCAGAACCGATAAACGAATGTTCGCATTTATATTAAATGAGGAAAGATTGCTAAGGAAGAGGAAGATTATTGAAGTATCAGTCCTAGTTCTTTGAATAACAAAAATTATTAAATTATTATCACTAACATTACCGTATTAGTTACCTGATTTAAGATTGACCATTTATACTGTGTGTTTATGTATGCAAAACTCTTTTCCTTTCTGAAATTTCGGAAAATATTTGTTCAAGACATAATAAAAATAATAAATGTTAAGTTAGCTATGTTAAGTCTTTTATTGTGTAAAAACGACACGAAACAAAAAGTGTAATTAATAATAACGTTTTACAAGAAAAAGTCTTATACGAGAACCATTGCACTTTCAACTTGATTGTGAAAATTAGTTTTCTTTGCATTTTTAAATAACGATCAGCTGTTATTTATATTTGTTCTCAGTATAAATGTAATACAGAACAAAGAAGGTTGCTTCTATAACCTTTAACGGTATTAATTTTACTTTTCTGTAACTAATTTAAATTTTATTCATCAAGGGAATGCAGCTTTTAATGTTAAGTATCAACTTTATTTACAAACACGGAAGCAATACCGCAAATCCTTTAAGGTATCCCAGACAAATCTATCTGTTGAAGTTAGTTTACATTCTACTCAATCCTGAACCTCAGCAAATCAGTTTAAACCTACAGAGTTGGCGAAGTTGAGTCTAGACTATCTCTCTCATTATCTCTTATATCAGGTAACACTTCTCCAAATACATGTTTATTACCAGAGAAACCTGTATATCTCAGGGTAATAACCCTCAAGATATCCTCTTGCGACAAAACATTAATTGGAATTTTTACGACTACAGGGGACAGTCTGGCCAATAACTATGGTTGTACATCATTCTAAATTGTGAATCTGTTTATTAAATAATGATGTTGTAACTAACATCTGAATAAAATTAGTACTTGGTGAAGATGAAATGTAATTAAAAGTCAAAGTAACAATTTTCAAATTATTTGTATTTTTGAATGTTTGTAATATTTGCAATTATATTTTAACAAAACTAAAAAAATCTAAAGAAGTACTTTAATAACACAAGGGGTGTAAATATCTTAAAAAGAGATAAGATTCGAATGAAATATACGGAAAAGTACAATAATAAATCACAAGAAACAACGCATTGAAGTGGATAAATCACGTTTCTCTTCCAATCAACCTTCCAAATAAATGAGGATCATATTTCAGATGGATTATTAATCTATAGGATTGGTATTGAAATTTCCATTTTCTGCTTCATCACGAGATGTTAATTAATGTTAATTAAAAAGCGTAAATTTAACGCAATTTTTGGATGATTGAAATATTAAATAGGGAATATAGGTTCTTTTGTTGTTCTCAACCAACTTTTAAAAAGCGTAATTTATGGCTAATAACATGTGGTGAGCCCTAATTTGTTATAGATTATGGTAAAATATTTTATGGGAAACCATTTACTCCTCCTTGATATATTTTCGCAGGTATTATTCTCTTTACAGTACTTATCGAAGGAAGTCAAGCAAATTATACAAACGTACAATTAAGGCCAAGTAGACCGTGAGGTGCAAACAGTCCTTGCCAAATCGGACAACTAACCCAACAGATTTGTGGACCTTTCTACAGCTTTGGTTTGTGGTCATTCAACAATGGACCAACCGATCTAAAATCATACTCGTGTGTTTGAACAAAGCACCACAATATAATGATGAACCGGTGCCTAAAGCATTATTAATAGTCAGAACACGGTAGTGAATTATTTTTTTCTTTCTTTCAAGTTCATAGCCGTTTACTGTCCATAAAGCTATTTAAGCATAGAGATTTGTTGGTTTTGTATAATAACTTAGACTTTGAAACTGTAAAATAGTCAATATTTAATGTAAAGTTACAAATGACATACAAACAAGTAATTGGCTCCTTGATACATAACATTTTTGAAGTAGATGAAGTGCAGGAAAAAGTGGGTTAAAATATTTTTTTGGAAAATGAAGGATTCGGCTAACACTCTACGAACATATTTTAATTTTTTCATGAGCTTTTTGGAACACATTGGAGGCGTTATGCCTCGAACGCATTTAGTTTATCCATGAAGTTTGGCAAGGTTCGTGTCAAGTTGAAGTGTATATTTATAACACAAGCACGCAAAGTCAGTCACGTTAGATGCTTACTGTTCTATAGAATCGTTCTGAGATATTAATACTGAAGCTATTGCAGTTTTTTATTTTATTTTGAGATATCACGTAAGTGCAATATACTGAAAAGCATTAAAGGATAATGCAATATAGGCCTACTTCGAATAACACATAGTGTTCAAGTCTTGCCAATCACAAATTTATATGAGAAATGTAACGCCTTAGCATGGTGCAGTGGTTTCAAACATGTATTTAATATTTGTAAAAAAAAAGACAAATAAAATCAACACCCAGCTTAGTTCAGAAGAAATTTTCCTACAAACAACCCCGCCTCACTTATAATATACAATGATTGAAACTTATTATTTAACATGCACATAGATTAGCTTTACTCTCATTTATTTTTAATCTGTGCGTCACTAAGCTTATTAAACAGGATACTGACAATTAACTTTTGTCAGGGAATTACATTTAAATCATAAATAAATAGCGTATGACTAAAGCTTTGAAAACATTTCGTTCAAAACCATAGTTTAAATCCAAATTTAACATACAACGTCTTTAAGAAACTTTATAAAACGATACTCTTAAAAATCGCAAATACTTAAAACTATTATTTTCGACAGACTAAACCGTTATCAAAGCTCATCTTTGTGGTTATGTATTCTAGAAATGATGAATCAGTTTGTGACGCAGCAGCCTTTAACCTCTCTCGTCACGTTTGGTTTAACGTGTGGTTTTGGTGACACACATCACATGTAACATTTCGTGTTTTCATGGAGCTGTTTGAGAATTTGAATGTACATCGCACTGAAGTTGTAGGTTTCTCCAGCTTGAAACTTAAGTTAGTTTGTCTCGTATTAGGTATGTATTTCACATAGAATTTACTTTAATTAAACATAAGTTTCCGCACTTAGGGATTGTATTTTTATATGTATGCTATGTCTTTACAAGCTTTTATTTTACCTTCTTTGTAGACTTGCAGACCTTCTTGTATCATAAGGAAAACGTGTGCACAAAGAAAAATTTTAATCATAGTTGTCACAACCATTGAATGTTATGGTATTCACTATTCCCATACGGTTTATACCAATGACACAAAGTCTATAAGAGTATCGTAACAGACAAGAGAATACTTATTTTCTTTACTGTGGTATCGTGTAATTGGAAATAATAATAAGTGTGCATTATGCAGATTTCAGAATACACATAATTCGTGTCAATAAAAAAAATACTTAGCGTGTAGGTTATATCATTTGCAAACAGCGTAAATGAAAGCTCGCATATAATAAACGCAAATTTTCTAGAGCTCTTTCAAGAATATACTTACACGAGGAAATGAGAAAACTTTATAGACCTGTTTGTTTCTTTCGAGAGGGTTGAAAAGCTTGTTCTAAATGCAATGTTAAATAAAAAGTTAGACAACCTGCTGTATTGTCTTAAATGTAATTGAAGCTCGTTTTATTTAATTATATACCAAATGTTGGTTAATGGAATTTAATTTAAATTTTTAATAGGTAATGAAGGATTTTTACCTATTTATAAATATCAACCTTTTTTTATTATTGGTCGGATTAAATGTGTTTTAGTAATAAAGTGTTCTTTAATCTTATAACGAATGAAAAGGTGATCAAATGTGTGCCTGCTGTTTTAATGTACATGTGTATTTACCCACAAAGCATATTAAATACTTTATTATCAGCTGGGTCTGATCGTTAATAACACAAGTATGGTGAAACCAAGTTTTTTTTCTTAAAGAACAATAACAATATGTGTAACTATTATCTATACATAGTCTATGGTTTAACATATTACACACATTGGCACATACTGATCAATTTAGTTGCAAATATTAATGAAACTGTTACATATGTTATTAAGATACACAGATGTTCAGAATTAAGTATTATTATGTTTGTTTAATTCAATGTTTTTGTTTAGTTCAATGCTAACATTATGAAATGATTTAATTGAGTTTAATACAGTTCTTGTTAATAATTGTATTTAATAATTGGCGACGAGGACAATTATTTATTTCTACGTTTCTATTTTACACTTATTACATTTACCAGTACAAATAATTGATTATGGCCTCCTTACAAGGCAATGAAACATTGAGTGAACTGAAGAAAGCAAGAGCTGTTGTTAAAGGTCAGTTGACTAGAGCTGAGAGAATGCTGGAAGAATTGTCTGGTATTAAAGTTGATAGTATCAGAACAAGACTCTCAGTGATACATGCATATTGGGAACGGTTCGAGCTTATCCAGCACAACATTGAAGTAAAAACAGATGAAGAACAACTTGACACTGAAATCACATACAGGACCGACATGGAGGATATGTATTTCAAAATAGTTGATGTATTACAACTCCGATTAAGTGAATTGGAAAGAGTCAACGAAACAGAAGAACTACAGCAGATCAGACCATACAGTGTTGATACTCAGAAATTGCGACCGCTTACATCAACAATTTCTTTCACCCCCTTCCAAGATGACGAGACATTCAAGAATTTCATAAGACGCCTAGAAGTCTTCATTCTACATACTTACATGGACAAGGAATGCATCCTACAGATAAGGTATACACATTACTTCATTCTTTAACCCCTAGCCTACATCAGAAGGTTTATGATTTATGTGCTCCAGAAGTACCTCTGGATAAATCATATACAGAATTGGTGAGAATGTTGACAGATTATGTTGATCCACAGCCAAGTACTTGGGCTTTACAGCACAAATTCTTGTCTAGAGTACAGGAGCCCAATGAAACAGTTAAGATTTATTCAGTGGAATTGCAAAAACTTACATCTAATTGTGAGTTTAACTGTGAGTCTTGCCAGAAATCAATCGCGAATACTCTTTTGCGAATGCAGTTCATAAGGGGGTTAGTTAATAAAGATATTAGAGATGATTTTAGAGATGATTCATTTGTATCGTTTCAAGATGTCGTCAAAGCAGCGACAGCGATGGAAATTGCAAAACACGAGAGTGATCTATCTGAATACTATGCAACTAAAACTAATAGGCCTAGTACAGTACATCAGATTGAGGATAAATACAAAAATGTATCAACTAAATCGCACATGACGTCAAACCAGAAAAGGCCTTCACCTCTTTTTGAAAGCCTTAAAGGAAAATGTTACAGATGTGGTTCTCAAAACCATAGGGCAAATAACTGTGAGTTTGCTTCAAAGATATGTAACAAATGCAAGAAACAGGGACACTTAGCCAGAGTATGTTTAGGATCTACAAGAACAAAAATTCACCAAGCCGAAGAAGAAGACTGTCAAGATGAACAACACGAGATTTTCAAAATAGATAGAAGAAATGGAGATAAAATTATGCTTGATTTATCAGTTGAAGGTAAACCAGTTCAAATGGAACTGGATACAGGTTCTGCTATAAGTACTCTGCCTTACTCTACATTCAAGAAACTTGAGATTAATAGGAAAATTTTTCATACACAAGTGCAGCTACGAACATACACTCGAGAAGTTTTCAAACCAAAAGGAGTTGTTTTTGTGCATTGCATATACAAAGATCAGGAATTTACAGGCAAACTTTACATCGTGGATGACAACCTTGACGCAATATTTGGTCGCGATTGGTTGCGAGAAGTACAGTTAGACTGGGCTGAACTAAAGGCAGTACAACAATATCCAAAAGTAGGTGGTCTCGACAACCTTTTAGAGAAGTTCAAGGATGTGTTTGAGCCAGGTATCGGTAAGATTCCAGATCAACTTGGACACTTACAACTTGTCGATGGGGCTCGTCCAGTATTTATGAAGGCTAGGCCAGTGCCGTACGCATTAAAACTGAAAGTCGAACAAGAACTTGACCGCTTGGAAGAGGCAGGAATAATTTCGAAAACTCAAGAATCTGAGTGGGGAACACCAATCGTTCCAGTAGTCAAGCCTAACGGAGATGTGAGAATATGTGCGGACTACAAAGTGACAGTAAACAAGCAGATCCAAGATGAACATCACCCTATTCCCAAAATTGAAGACATATTTGTCAACATGAATGGTGGAAAATTATTTTGTACACTAGATTTAAGAAACGCTTACCTTCATTTGGAAATGGACAGTGATAGTGCAAATATTCAAACCTTAAGCACGCATAAGGGACAGTACAGGGTACATAGATTAATGTTTGGTATTAAAGTTGCTCCTGGCATTTGGCAGAAAACAATGGACAAGACATTGGCAGGCCTAGAGGGAATACAGTGCTTCTTTGACGATATAGTCATTCAGGGAAATTCAGAAGAGGAACTACTTCTACGTTTGGAAAGTGTCTTAGGAAAACTAAGAGAAAAAGGTTTAAGACTCAATCGTGACAAATGCAAGTTTCTCCAGAGAAGAATACATTATTTGGGCCACGTCATTGATGAAAAGGGTATACATAAATGTATGGACAAAGTGGCTGCCATAGCAAAGGCAAGAAAACCTGAGAATGTAAGCGAACTCCGGACATTTTTAGGTTTGGTAAACTATTATAACCGATTCATAAAAGACCTAGCAACTCTACTGAAACCATTACATAAACTTTTACAGAAAGGGAACAAATACGTTTGGAATGAACAATGTGAACAGAGTTTTGAACAAATCAAGGAAGTTATCTCCAGTGATACTGTTCTTTGCCACTACAGTCCAGAATTACCACTAGTATTAGCAACAGACGCATCTCCTGTTGGGTTAGGCGCTGTTATATCACACCGTTTTCCTGATGGGACTGAGAAACCAATTGCTTTTGCCTCTCGAACGTTGACGAAGCCTGAAGAAAAATATAGTCAGATAGACAAGGAAGCAACTGGCATTATTTGGGGACTTAAAAAGTTCTTTACTTATTGTTACGGTCGCAAATTCACCCTCGTAACCGACCACAAACCACTAGTCACAATCTTCAACCCAGAAAAAAATCTTCCATCCATTTCTGCAACTCGCTTGTTCAATTATTCTCATTATTTATCAGGCTTTGATTACAGCATTGAGTTCAGAAGATCAAATGAACATGGAAACGCTGATTTTCTCTCTAGATTTCCTACTGAGACACAAAATAGTACCTGCATGGACCAAATTGATGTTTTTCTAACAAGTCAGATCAATCAAATGAGTTTGGATCATAAGTTGGTAGCAAAAGAAACTTCCCATGACACGGAAATGAATAAGATAATACACGCTTTACAAAATGGCCAGTCTGTTGAAAAACTTGGATTTCACGATGGTGAACTGAGTCTTCATGAAGGTTGTATCCTCAAGGGATGGAGGGTTATGATTCCGAAGTCTCTTACTAAAATCGTTTTGAATGAATTACACTTTGGACACATGGGTGTATTGAAAACGAAAGCATTAGCCAGAAGTTTTTGTTATTGGAAAGGACAAGACAAAGATATCGAGGAGATGATTGCATCATGCAGAGCGTGTCGAGAAAAACAAAATGCACCACAAAAAGAAGTGAACCATCCTTGGATACCAGCTACTAGACCTTGGGAAAGGATTCACATTGATTTTGCTGGCCCTACAAATGGACTTTACTTCCTGTTAGTCATTGACGCATTTACCAAATGGGTAGAAGTATTGCCTACGAAATGTACTACAGCTACTTGGACAGTAAAGGAGTTGCGAAAAATGTTTTCTACTTTTGGATTACCAGATCTTCTTGTGTCAGACAATGGACGACAGTTTACTAGCTTCCTTGAACAGTGTGGCATTACACATAAAACAACTGCACCATATCACCCTTCATCTAATGGGCAGGCTGAACGTTTTGTTCAAACTGTAAAGAAATCACTTAAATGTATGGAAAAGGAACCTGGGACCATCGATGAAAAAATACATAGATTTCTAATGCAGATCCGCCAAGCTCCTAATTCAACGGGAACCTCTTCATATTTCCTCATGTTTAATAGAAAGATTCGCACTTATCTAAGTCTACTAAAGCCTCGGGGGAAACACGAACCTACCAGTCCAAAAGGTATAATGCGAAGATTCAATCCTGGGGACCGCGTACAAGTAAGAAATTATTCAGGAAGAGACAAGTGGGCCTTGGGAACAGTTGAAATTAAAGATGGTAATCTTCATTATTACGTTAAAATGGATGATGGTCAAACTTGGAGACGACACGTGGACCAGATGCTACGCACAAAACTTTAAGGGGGGGACCACTGTTACATATGTTATTAAGATACACAGATGTTCAGAATTAAGTATTATTATGTTTGTTTAATTCAATGTTTTTAGCGAATTTCCCATATAGGGAATAAGCTATTACCGTAGTACTCATGGTAAGACCTGGACGCGGGACCGATTTTTTTTTTCGATTTGAGGTCCCTAGAGGCCAAAAACACCATCCGTTCAAATTCATATATATATATATATATATTTATATATTTATATATATATATATATATGTGTCCGTCAGCACGATAACTCGAGCAAAAATGATCCGATTTTGATGAAATTTGGTACAAACGTGTAAAAGTACGTTTATTCGAACGAGTTCGCGATCCAGCATGATCGGACCATGGGAACGGGGGTTTACGGGGGGTTTTATGGGGTAAAAATAGGTTTTTCCCATTTTTGACCCAAAAAACATAAGATTTAGCAATTTCTTTCCAAACCATTTTGTAGAGCTTAAAAAAACAAATAATTTAGTATATTGAAGCGTTACTATGCGCCTAATGGTTACGGAGAAAATTCAAAAAAATTGTAAATTTAAAATTCCCATGTTATTCTTATGGAGAATAAGTAAACTGTTGTAGTTTGCTTGTTTGTGAACATATTTTGATCAAATTTGGAAAATGTTTTTATTTCTTACTAACTATTCACATTAAAAAAAAAAAACAGTTTTACCCTCCCTGATGCAGCAAACCTAAGTACTTGTTAAACTAATTCTATTTAAATCAAGAATAAATGTTATATTTTTAAGTAGACATTTCAGTGTAAATCCAATCAGTCAAATGGAAATTCGCTTAGTCTGCAGGTTTGCTGCAGCGGGGGTATTTTTGTTTAGTTCAATGCTAACATTATGAAATGATTAAATTGAGTTTAATACAGTTCTTGTTAATAATTGTATTTAATAGAAACTAATTTCATGGTGTCGTACAAAAATAGCGTAAGTTATTATGTGACGTAATAAAATAACTAATAACAAATATTTAAGTTACGATAGTACGATAAATTTAACAAAACGTGTTTATTCATTACAAATTGTATCCGTCAAACTATTCAATGATATGTAAAAAACAACAGTTTGTTATACAACAACTTTTACCGTTAGTTTATATCTTGGGAAAACTATTACAATAGATGGCGTGTATTTGTTCAGTATAAAACATATACATTAGCAAGATAAGTAGTTACATTTGACCGACCACAATACAAATTAGGTTAATCTAGGTTGTCACACATCAAACAAACTCTAGAGTAGCCGGGCCTGTGTGTCTGTACAAATTATATGTCCATAGCTACCTCTCAGTCCTTCGTTATATTTTCCAAGATCTTTGGTAAGACATTCATCATGCGTGGCCGTAGTATTCACGTTTATAAACTCTCCGGTAGACTAATATTTCGTCATAACCTAGTTGGCGTCTTGGTAAATGGTGTCAAGAAGTATGTTTTAGGGGTTTGATTCGATAGCTTAAGTAAGAAATATCTTGCACCAGCAGTGGACTTTATTCAAACGGTGTTAACTGGTGTGAGTAAATATAGGTAGAAGGATCAGTTGGAAATGTTTTCTGACCAGACATGCAAACGTGAAAATGGAACACTGAGATTAAATTATTTAAGAGTGTACACTAACATCCTTCAGGGGTATTCCCAATAGTATAAAATCATGTTTATAACTCAGCCGAATTAGCGCTGACATTAGAGCTATGATTAGCTTGACTCATGCAATGGACGTTGTTTGTAAACCTTCATTTTTCATATGTTACAATACTGACGCAAGATACTATGCTGGATTTATTAAAGATAGTTTTTTTAATTAGTAATCAGACACTAAATGTCTAAGAATATACGGTGTGTTTGTCCTTTGGTTTTATTCAAGGGGTACGTTATAGCATTTAGGATCTCTTTGCACTTTTACGCAGATAACTAATTATCATAAGACAATAGTTAGAAAAACGATAACACGGTTGACAATCTAAAGGTGATTTTATACATTATATTCATAGAGGAGACCATTACTTTGTCTGAGTGCAGAGTGAAATAACTATTTATTTGTTACCGTAAAGGTAATACACATGTCGGTATTGTCCATGAGCGTCTATAAAAAACAAACTAATTGTTATTATAAAAATACATGCAGAATGTGTGTACGAAATAAAAACTGTATTTATGACATACTTTCAACACACTTACCAACCTTACTGCAATATTTTTTAAGGATGTCATAGTAACCAACAAATGCATCTACTGGAAAACTATTTTTTCTTCAAACGAACAATAGTATTTGACTTAACATCCACACAAGCAATTATGTACTTTTACCTAAACCATAAATGTATAGTTATAATTGTTGAATTGGTATCCATGGTAACACAGTTAAGAGAATAATTAATAATAATTACTTGAGCCTTGTAGAACTTAAGCTCTTTTCGGTAATTGCCTTTGCTTCAACACCACATTTCACTGAAAATATTGACTCAAACCATAATAAATTTGTTGAAACCACTTTTATTTGTTCGATTAAACTAGTTTTTGGAAATGATTGTACTTTTAAAATCTATCATCTAACAAAATGCAATACTAATCTAAATAGCCTATTGTAATATTTTTGAAAGCATAAACGGTATTACGAGTAATTACAAAATGTATTAACTTCTTCTCTATTCACAATACTCTAATGAAATACTCAATACAAAAATATATGTATTATATCATAAAAATCCAATGGAATATTTGAGGCGGATGAGGATTGTAAATAGAGAAAAGGTAACATATACTTTTATGTATGTTTGTATATATAGTAAATTAATATCACAAAGAGATATTGAATGGATTATTGTATTTATGTTAATATGTCGGCTTCCAAGAATTCCCACTTCATCTTCCACTCCTTCAGATGATCCATTTTGAAGAATAGTTCAAAATAAATTGCTGACGACATAGGAAAAGATTTTAGAGAGATGAAATCAGCTCATTTTTTTAACAACTAAGAAAACACTGTACAAAATATAATATAGTGTGACTCCTATAATAAAAGAGCAAGAAATGCAAAGTGCCTAAATTCATTACAACTATAAAATATGCATGACGTTATTACATGTGTTCATGTCGAATATAGTTGTAATTAGAAACCTTTTTGCATTAGTTTTGTTAAACGTTTGTAACACGATTGGCTATTATCTTTACGTTTGTCTGTTCTACATTAAACTACACATTGTTTTGTGACACGTCAGGCTTTTTTGCTGCGACCAAAAAAACAAATGAAGAGAATAATTAAATATTGTCCGTAAGTAACTGTTTCCCATTGTAACGTTAAGAGAGTTTTTAAATAGTGTTTACCAAATACCAGAGTACTTATCTTTGTTGCTGTTCAGGTGTAAATCACCTTTTTAGTATTTTAAAATCTTAAACATCCCTTAATGTTATAAATATATTTTATCTGGTATTTCCCTATGATACATTTTTATTACAGATTCATTTACAACAAAATGCTTCCGCTTAAATCATTTGTATAGGTTTATAACATAGTTTTGCTATAATATTTATGCAAATCCAGGATCTGCCAACGTACTGTAGAAGTAATGGTGGACAATCGCAACGGCAACAAAATGTATAGTTTTTTTGGTTATCTTAACATAGCTTTTTAGTGCTATGTGATGGCTAAAGATTTTTATTGAAACTTTTTAAATTGCACAGTCAATGCAATTAAAGAACAATATTAATATATTAAAATATATATTTCAAATATTTTAAATATAAACAAATGATCTCCATTTATGAGGACACCTTTATAATGTTCAACTAAAAACAAAACATAAAACTCTAAACACATACAACGCATTTCTTACACATATATAATACCTGTTCCAATATTACAAACAGAATCAAATTTTTATTTTAGAACATCTAAACTTCTTCAATCAAGCAAAATATAGCATTAGATGATAACCCACACTCAACTAAGATAAGACAAGCAATGAAGATAGGCAAATTTGATTATTCATGGAACATAGTTACAACTTGTTAACTTATGTTACTATTGTGTTGTACATTTATGACATGCAATAGTTAGGGGCTCAGGTGGCTCATATTGACTTAAACCAGTTTGATATGCATAATTGAAACTGCCTCACCACCAGGGCACTAAGCACTAAGCACTGCCACTGAGTTACATTAGTAAGTGTATGTATTATTTGTACGAGGTCTGCTTCATTTTGTTTTAAATATCTCCTATCATCTAACGTTGTTTGTATTGAATAAAATATCATTGATAATAATGAAATGTAATCAAATAAATTTATTTAACATAACAAATATATGCAAACAATTGAACAAATTGTATGGTATAGATTTTATGATGGATTGGTCTCTTGATCGTTTTAATTTATTAGTATATGTTCAAATTACCTGGTTACTGTGAAAACGATACCCTATAGTATAGAGAGTGAGTAATTATAAGTAAGACACAAAGCAGTCTCACATTATAATACATGAAACTTCTAACTAAATGAGACCGGGTCAAGTGGTCTGAGCATTTTTATTACTCGGTTCTGACGTAGGCACTCTGGCTCTAACAGCCAAACAGAGGGCTGAAGAAGGTTATTAGCTTTTAATGTGATCCAAGGAACCGATAACTCACTACTCTAAATAAATTATCAATTTTTCAAACATAAGACTTATGGTTACAAATTGAAACCTTTAGTTAGTTGTAAAATTATTTTTATCAAAATCTTAAAGTAAAGTCTTATTTATGTGCATATATTACGGATTTTTAAAATATTTTTTATTGACATCGAAAAATAATATCTTATTGTTTTTAAAGATGTATACACTTAAAAAAAAAATATATTTTTTTAGATTATTTGACATTATCTACCTTATATACAAAATATGCAACCCTGCTATGATTACCAACTTTGGAAATAAAACGTCTTTACATTTTTGGGTTATATAATTTGTACTTTATTTTATGGATAATATTCTGGTTGTATTCCATTTATTTGTGCTTCCATAAATTTAACAGTATATGAGCTGTGCTTCATATGGGAAATATCACCACTATGAGTCTACACAAATATAAACTAATTTTAATAGTAGTTTACGCAACGATTGCGTTAAGTTAGTCTTTACGACACGAGTAGAAAATTTAAGGCACGAGCCTTGGCGAGTGCATTAAAAACTTCTACGAGTGTCGTAAAGACTATTAACGCGAGTTGCGTACACTACGACAGTTTTTTAATTACTAACAATCTGGTTTTTAATTACTAACAATCCCTACTCATAACTTCTTAGAGAGGTTATGTTTTCGATTATTGTCAAAGCCACTGAAAGTGATGCAACCACTTATTGTATAATCAGCTGACTTCATGTTTTTACTGTACGTGTTTGTAAAACTTCGTTTAATAAAGTGTTACCTTTTTCAGGGAATAGGTTCTGCTAGCAGAATTCTTACCATAAATACTGTATAAGGTACAGTTAGGGAAATATTGCTTTTTTTGTGCTCTCATTTCCATCTCGTCAACTTCACTTTCACTTACTGACATTTTTAAATCAGTTTAATCTACCTCCTTTAACTTCCACCAACTTAGGTTAAGAATACGCGAGTATCAACAGGAACAAGTCGGATCAACAATTAAAATTGTCAACTGATCAGCTGATTAGTTGTAGTTTTTTTTTTTTTTTTTTTTTTTTTTGTCCTAAGGACTCTAGGCACGAGCCTGGGATTGTTTTTCACATTACTTCAGGCTAGACCTAGGGGTTGCGGCATTATCACTTAGATAAAATCCATTGGTGACTTGGCGGGGATCGAACCCGGGACCTCAGGGACTGAAGTCCCGCGCTCTAACCACTACGCCAGCTCGCTCCCCTGATTAGTTGTAGTTCGAAACATTACAATTTTACTTCTTTTCTCTCAATCCTCGGACCTCATTGGTCCGTTACCCGTAGTTGTTATGAGAAAAACTATGCTTTTATGAAACGAAACAATGCTGTTATGAAAGTAAACAGCTGTTATGTTAAACTTTTCAATTCTAAGAACTTAACTGAAATGGCTACTTTAAAAAACGGTCGTAGGTAAATAATATCTTGGAAAGCATTGCATTATACTAATATATTTTGTGTTCTTATTGTTAAAGTTAGTTGTAGTGTAAATCTGCATTCCGTGCATTTATAACACAAAGAATCCAGATAAGCTTAGGTAACATTGCTTCCATTTTACAAATTCACCTGACATGGACATTTCTACATACTTTTTTCAGTTTTCCATTGTCGGGTTTACAGATTGGCATCCACACGTGTCACTTAAAACGCATTCAAAGGGTAAAATATAGTAACACTTTTAAACTATGTACTCGTGTCGTTGAATATAATGCATTCTTTCCACGATACACCATAAAGGAGATGTTAAATGACGTTTTGAGCTAGCATCTAAAATAAAAATATAATTTATTAGGTTTCACTAGTAAGACACTAAACGTCATAAATGCATATTTTAAAATATTTTTCCTGTATTCAGATGTATTTGATGTTACAGTACAGAAGTGAATAGGGTATACATTTAATTAAAGTATTGACTTGTTTAAGCCGACACCCCTATAAGCTACTAAATATCATTCATCACTGACATACATAATGACTTATTAAAAATGTGTTCTGTATGCAACACTTTTACTTGAAGATCGTCTTAATTAGAAGATTATGAATTGAATAACAAATTGTAATTACTTTAGCCTCTCAAAACATAAGCTCATTACTGTAATCACCCTTGCCTCTTCACCGCCTATAGGCATGTAATATTGTTCATGTAGTTTGTATCAGTTTTAGTAACTGTACTTTCTTTTTTTACAGTTATACATTTAGTATTTAGTTTGCATTTTTTTACTTACTGTCAACATATGTGGTTTTGAAAACACACTTAAAAGGAAAAGCAGGATCGCTATTTGACGAGGCTCAGATTATACTGTATATTGAAAACTAGATTGAATAGAATTAGAAATAAAGAGTTGAGAAGAAACATTGAGAGGACTAGTAGAGAAATCGAGGTTGAGATGGTTTGGCCACTTAAGAAGAATGGGAAATTGTATAATCCCCAGAAAAATTAGTGAGCTTCAGATGAACCGAAGAAGGCCAAGAGGAAGACCTAGAAGAAGGTGGATTGACGAGGTGTGACGAGATGTGGATGCAAGAGGGAGTGCAGTGGCAGTATGTGGAGGAAGAGTAACTGTGGCGGAAGATGGAGAGGCATAGTGAACACCCAGACCCGGAGATAACCAACGGGAGAGTACACGGTACTTTCCTGTTAAAGGGAACATTCATTATTATCAATGATTTTTTCTCGATATATCGATATTTTTGTTTTCCTTTACGATACATTACAAATTGACAGCTGATCTTTAGGCTAAAATATAGTCTATTTTATGGATTAAGAAATGAAACTGTTCTAAGATAACCTAACATAACCAACCAAACTTGCTGTACCATTTAAAAAATCCGTTTGATAACAGAAAAGGCGATTGGAGAATATTAGGCGGAGTTTTTAAATGTTACAGTTTTAGTGGTACAGTGGTTAGTTTTGTTAGGTTAGTTTAGAACAGTTTCATTTCAATTTTTTTATTTTTTATTATTGTTTGTTAATTCTGAACAATATTTATTTATCGTTGTTCGTCAGCTGATATGTTTCGATTTGTTAATATCGATATATCTAGAAAAAAATCATCGATAATCATGAATGTTCCCTTTAACAGGAAAGTACCGAGTACACTTTATATGAACTTATGTTAATATAACTATTATAACTTATTATTATTATAATTATGTAATTATTATAATATATCATTATATGTTATGCTTTTCTTACAGTATGGAGATGTAAAAATTTTAATTAAATATTTATTTTCAAGCAAAAAGTCTATTATAATTCTTGTGGAGCAAAACTCAGCAAAGGTCGGTTTGTTCCCCACTTTCAAAACACCTTGGTTATAAACAAAGTTGGACTCATGTTTATGCAATTTGGTCTGGACCTTTGTAGCCTCATTTTATGTACGCAAGCGAAAAGAGATGTTTTGTGGCCAACTGTATTCTAATAAACCTTGTTAGGTTTTATGTGCATTACATTAAAGCTGGTTATTAATTATGTTATTCAATCAATTATAAAAGTCAGATTAAATTGTTATAAAGCAAAAAAGAGGGTTTAGACAAAACTGTGTGCATAACAGGATAGTTATTGCATATGTCTAAGAATGGAAATATATTTCCAGAAAATTAGTTTTAATATGAGAAATTTTTGCTACAAAGTAAATATGAGAATGATCGTTGGATGATACATCCCTATGTAGGGCCCTCTTTTAAACGTATGCAGCCAATGCCAATGTTTTATAAAAGC